ACACGGACAGCGACAGCGCCGTGCGGCTCGACAGCGACGGGATGCCCCGGTCGCTCGCCACCACCGTCACGTTGTGCTCGGACGCACGCTCCCTGTCCAGCGCGCTCGCCGTCACCACCTTGTACGAGCTGCCCGACGACGCCACGATCGACAGCGGCGACTCGCCCTCCAGCTCGCACCACACCTTCCCGTTCTCGCCGGAGTCCCGGTCTCGAACCTTGATGAGGGCYACSACGGTGCCRGGCGGGGAGTCCTCGGGTACTGAGCTCGACAYAGACAACGTCGTTATCTCGGGYGCRTTGTCGTTCTCGTCYGTGAKCTCTATGTGCACCTGACTGTGACYRSTSAGSCCKCCCCCGTCCCTYGCWKCYACTYCGAAGGTRTATTCYTTYYSCTCYTCGAAATCCAGAATTCCYACAKTGCGRATGTCACCRCTSTCRCTGTCTATRYYRAARACAGCRCGGACRGCGTCGGGCACRTTGCTGAAGGARTAGGAGACTCGTSCGTTGGAGCCCGCATCCGCGTCCRTGGCTCGCACCTGCAGCACCAGCGAGCCCGTCGCCACATTCTCCCGCACTCGCGCCTCGTAGCTGCTTTTGCTGAACACGGGCGCGTTGTCGTTCGCGTCTGTCACGTTGATGCGAATCTGGACAGTGCCCGACCTCGCTGGAGACCCGCCGTCCACCGCCGTCAGCACCATCTCAAACGAGCTCTGCTTCTCGCGATCCAAAGCTGCCTGTAACACSAGYTCGGGCTGCTTCTTGCCACTTGGTGTCTCCTTCACTTCCAGSCTGAAGGAGGGGTTTTCGGTGAGYTGGTAGCTGAGTAGCGAGTTGCTTCCCACATCCGGATCTTGYGCCATCTGCAGCGGAAATCGCGCACCGGGAAGGATCMATTCACCGATCTCCAGGTCGAGACAAGCCTTGCTAAATAGCGGGGAGTTATCATTGATGTCTTGAATGTCCACATCGACATGGAAAATGTTGAGCGGGTTTTGCACCACCGCCTCGAGAGCSACAACGCAGGACGCCGAGTGGCCRCAYATSTCCTCGCGGTCCAGACGCTCGCTCACGTACAGGTGCCCCGTGTCCGCACTCACCGCAAAGTAGTGCTTCTCCGAGCTGATCCGCAGCTGCCGKGCGGGCAGGTCTGCCGGGCTCAGKCCCAGGTCCCGCGCCAGCGGCCCCACCACGGAGCCGCTGCTCATTTCCTCGGGAATCGCRTAGCGCAGCCGCTCCGGCGCCGCCCGGCAGCCCCAGGAAAGCAGCCAAGCACACAGCAGCCCTGCMAGGGGTCTCATCCAGTGCCTCTGCCGCCTCTCCATTCTCAGGAATCCGCKCTGCGCTCTTTCCTTCCCCCTCTGTCCTTCGGTTCGCGCCCTTTCCGCGCTCGTGAGAACCCAACGMCTGCGATTCCGGTCTCAAAATATCCTTTAGCAGGCTTAGAATTTCGAGGAATGGGAGAACCGTGCTTTCGGCCTCTCGCCGCCTCTGCCACCGGCCGCTCGGTCCTTCCCACCTTCTCAGCGGCTTTTTCTTTCCGTGTCTATGGAGTCCGCTCGGCTCTGTGCTCCCTGGCTGCGGCGGCCCCGGCTCGGATTGCCGCTCTGCTTTCCGCGCCGCTTCATATTGGGCAACAGCGGCACCCGGAGTCAACGCACCGACACTGCAGCCCACCCTTAAAGGGACGAGCAACAGCCAGACTCTGAGGGGGCTCTTCATACAAAAGTCGATTCTTATCAGCCTGAGGGCGTCACTATGTACCACCCCGTGCTGTCACAGAACGTCCCCTTGGGGAAGCTATCAATCATCTTCTCTGCAATGAGCTTCGGTAAGTCAGGGACAAAGTTTCTCTTGTTTGCACTAATGATGTTATTCTGAGAAGGYCATGCAAGGCTTGTATATTTCTTCGGGCATGTGTGTCTCACAGATACACATACTCTCCAAAGCATATCTGCATTTCTTATTTCCAGTAACCATTCATGTAAACATTATGGTAAATGCAGAAATTGTTTTCAAGTCAGGGCCTAGCTCCTCACCACGGCCTTGATTGCTTTAGAGTTTAAATATCTTGGGAAACAAAAAATGCCTCAACACTCTCAGTCCTAATATTCACAAGGATTCACTAATATTCACTAGACTCTCCTTTTTGATAGGAACACTGTAACTTTCTCTAAGGTCAGTTAGCCTGACCTTCTCTAGTGTTTCTCTTAGCTCAATTTTTGACTTCCAAGGATAGCATCTGAAGAATATGGACATGGGAATGCTCAAGGGGTTTCACTGTGTTTATAGTCTTCCTGAAGGGGTAGGCCTGGCACTGCATTCCCACAACTGGAACAGATTGGAAGTGATGTCAAATTAGAACACATCTCCTCTGAAAGGTAACTTGCTTTCAAGGATTTTCAATTTCCAAGAATTTAAATTTCCCTAGTTAATGAGAAGCACTTGAAACAATATGTCCTGTTATATTAACTGCCGTAGTTCCGTAATCTGCCATGCTCTGGTTAATTTTCTAGCGCTTCATCTATACTTTGAATGGGCAGCAGACAGCAGAACATACTTTGTATGGGCACAGGGGTCATTCCTCACACTGGACAAAAAGGCATCTCCTTAGAATAGAGCAGGAGTATTTTAGAGCAGGAGTACAACTTCTGAAAGAAATCTTGTTCTAACTGGAATAAGATATAAAGATATGAGGTATGAATAATTAACCCCTGGAAATTACTTGTCCAAGATAGAGTAAATTCCAGGAAACAGTAAAATTTTTTGTTTAATACACACAAAAAATCCACTAAATTACTACCAATCACAGTAAAAGGTGTATTATAGGTGAAGAACACTAGATGAATTACAAAATGTGCTGTAAGGTTAAAGTCACGAAAGGAATAACAAGATGTCTCCCACTGCACACAGGGCCTAAAGCCTCCTGATCCAAGTATATGTATTGAACTTGAGGAGGGGGAAAGTAATAGTCTTCTTCCCAAGATTGCTAGGTCTTTCACTAAGTTCTCAATCCTTCCACTTTTGCCCCTGATGTCATCTTGAAGAACGATGCAACCATTACTAYCAGGTATTCCRGTACATTYGGCATTCAAACATTATTGTTCACTKCAACATTGTGAAGCTGGATGCATGCAAAGAGTATCAGCATGATAGAATTCTCAAAGTGAGGCAACAGTTCAGAAGATATCTATGATTTTGGACTATCCATTACAATCCACCACAATAACACCAAAGAAAAAGCACTCAGAAATGGTATCCCTTGGAGGCCTTTGGAAAATAGGAGAGATACATAGAAATTCTACTGCTCCTTCTCAGTGTTGAACCAGCAACAGAAGCAAATATTGGCTCTTTCTGAATGTATATATCTCACAGGCCAGACCAGAATGGGTTGCAACATGGAAATATCTTTCTTGGTATGCACCATGTTGGAAGTGTGTGTCTCCATCACGCACATGTGCACACGTACACACAWATCTACTCTCTGGAAGAAAAGATTCACTTGCAAGGCAAAGTCACATCCACTTCCAATTTCTATCAATCACAGGAATATCTGAATAATGCAAAAAAGGTGGTAATCCAACCTGACTTCCAACCCAAGGAAAAAGTCACAATGCTGTTTTGTAAGAATGCTTCTGTGGTCATTGAGAAACATTTCAGAAGGGGCTATCACAAGAAATGCAGCCTTTCTTACTGTTTTTTCCATCATTGCTGGGAACGCATGRTGCCTTATTCCTAATGCACTCCTGACTTTGATTTTAAGTAGCATATACTAAAAGAAGAAATTGGACTATATGCAGGAGCAGCTAAAAGAAAGTACTAGATGTCACAAGGCAGAGAAGTGAAATAAATGATCTCTCATGATCAAATATCTGTAAGGTTCTCCTTGTTCCATATCACTCATAACACAGCAAGTAGAAAGGATAAAATCACTCTATGTGTGGTAGGGCATAAGAACCAACTCTCAGTGAATTCTTAATGCAAATGTATACACAGGATCCCTCCACAAAGAGAGAAAGTATCACCACTTAAGCAAAACCATAGGAAAAAGGAGTACTTGTTATGTAGGGGATATAGACTAAAGCATAAGACATTAACTGAAACTCAGTGTTATGGTAAACCTTAGATTCTTCACCTTACTTACAAGCACTGTGAGAGATTCTGATTTAGGTCCTCTGCTTCAATTTCCTCTGCCATAAAGATCTGTCTTTGTGTGGTTGTAAGCTTGTCTTGGAAATTAAAGTGTTCACTGCAAAACAGCCCTGACAACTTCAAAATGAAAGCCCACTCCATAAAGGATCGACAAGGAAGAGTTCAAACAAGATTTCAAGCTTGAAGATGCCATAAGGACAGGAAAATATTCCACGAAAAGCTGTACTATAAGTAAAAAAAAAAAAATAAAATTACAAGATGCACTGTAAGGTTAAAGTTATGAGAGGAATAACAAGATATCTCACATTGCACCCAAGGCCCAAAGTCTCCTAATACAAGTATCTGAATAGAATATAAGAGAGAAAGTAATTGTCTTCATGCTAAGATTGTTAGGTCATTCACTGATTTCTCACTCCTTCCWTTTTTGCCCGTGATGTCATCCCAAGAAGAATCACCAGTACTATCAGCTATCCCAGTACACATTCAAACAGTATGGTTCRCATCAACACTATAAACTTGGATGCATGCAGAGAGTATCAGCATGACAGAATTCTCACAGGGGCAACTGTTAGAAGACCTCAGTGACTACGAACTGTCAATTGAAAACCACCACACAATAACACCACAGAAAAAAAAAAAGGCCTCAGAAATGGTAACTCTTGAAGACTCTTGGAGAATGGGAGAGATGCATGGAAATTCTGTACCTTCTCAATGTCGACTATCTCCAGAAACATACACAGAGATRAACTGATTCACATCCTACAGTGTGATAAAGAGGTGCAAACTGGAACAAAAGTATTTCAACAACAGGAGTTATACTTTAACATATTTTTGGAGTATAGTTATAACCATGCAAGATGTTTGCTGAACTGCACTGATCCAAACTCACCAGTCCACTGAAACAGCAATATAGAGCTAATACAAAATAAGAACTAAAGACTTATTCCATTCACTTACTTGTCCCAGATCAGTGGTATTCCAGCAAGCAGCCAACAGCTCTCAAGAAGGCCTAAGAAAGGCTTCTGGGTTCACCAAGCCATAATGACAATGTTGTAAAGATTCACCCACTGCTTTCTGAAGCACAGAATGCACTTTTTGGTCACTCCTGACTGAGGATCACATCTCATGCAGACCATGCAGCACTCAAAGTCAGCCATTTCAGTACATACATAGACATGTAAGACACAGAGCACTGACCTCAAATGGCAGTATTCACTATGCTTTGCAATCATTGAGTTTACGCCTTATCCTACTTGTCCCTCTTGACCATCCCATCGCTACGTTATTGTGGCCATAAGCACATGGAATTAGCAATTCAGGACACTCGTGATTTCAGTTTCTGTCAGTGCAAGCTCTGACTCTTCCCCAAGAATTTGCAGCCTCAGAGTCCTCTACAAATCCAGTCCTGGGTACCACTTGACAAACCACTTGGCCTTGCTTGGCTGTAATACAGAGATACATCAAACTCAGAAACTATAATTCTACCTTCTGCCATAATTACTGACCTTCATATTCTTCATATGTTTTGGAATCTATGTATCACCTTATTTTTTTCACGAGGCATCATCACACGCATACAACTCTACCTACCATATTTTAGGATCACCTCTTGAAACGTGCAAGTATCTAAAGAGATACTCCCCTTAAAGGCTCTATGATATTTGAGATATAGGGAGAGATACAGAGGTACTATCAGGGAAGTAACTATGCTTAACAGTTAATGGTTGTTAAAGATTCTGTGATGGATAAGATGATGTCACACCAACTATATAAAGATGGAGATGTGCGGAGGATGCAGCAGACTTCAGTGACATGGTATTTTCAAAGACCACAACAGCAAAAGCAGCACAAACCACACTCGTTGGAGATCTGAGACCAACAGACACATAATTCCCTGTTTCCAGAACTTCTTCAGTTTTGGCCTCCTGTGAGAAAAGGGTCAGTCATCATTAGAGTCATACCATAAAAAAAAGGTTATAGAGGATGAAAAACACCGATATTCCCTATGCAAGAGGGATTTGTTATGTTTTTAGAGCAGTGTCAAATGTGGAGACACCAGTCATTGCACTGACATGTGCACATAAACCTGACATGTGCACATRTGCCACAAGCACGAGCCTTTCATTCAGAGGCATGTTTACAAACCAATAGAATAAAAAAAAAGAAAAAAAGTTGTTCCTTCAGGCATGCATTTCTAAGTGAAAACCCATTAGTAGGCATATGGGAGCCTTCATACCAGTCATGCTAACAAATGAAAATAATGTTTGAAACATTCACAAATGAAGAAATCATACCAGGCAAAAATTATGATAATAATATTAATAAATCTACCATGAAGTAGGAACATGAGGACCAATCCTCGGTGACCTTCTACTACTTAATACATCCCTATCTACAGAAGTCTCATTGAAGAGTAAAGAAGAAAAGTCCAGCATGGAAGGAAAAGGGCATGAAAAAGAACAGCTATATTAAACGGGAWTGAAAATGTGGGGGRRAAAAAAAAAGAATACAAAGGATGTGCAACCTAGGCAAACATTGCTTTATTCATATCTCTGTTTAAAGATGRTATCATCCATCCAAACAAATGTTCTGAAGAAGGTGGAACATCGCTTACTCAACTACGACAGTAACATGTTCTGTTTAAAAAAAAATCATGCACACGACACACATACCATGTTAACCCTACAAAAAATACACATCAAAACATTTATGACTTATCTATGATCCTCATAAATGTCAAGGAAATAGCATCCAAAGAGTCACAGCAGACAACATTTCTCTGCATGATACACTGGCATACACAAATGGGATATATTTTTATGCTTCGCACACCATTATGGCAAGTCATTAACACATAAAGCATATGAGTGATGTAAGGCTAAAGACACGTAGTCTTGCACCAGAGATTGGGTCAAAAAACTACCTGCTTAAAGACACTCTTTAAGGTCCTCCTTAGGTAGAGACACATGATATGTCCAAAACAAGCGACTCTTCTTCTAACATAGCAAATATTGAGAGCAATTCCAATAGTAAAASTATTTAAACCAACCTACACTCCCATCTCCTGCATTCCACAGMAACTTCAACACTCCGAAAGAACCTGAAAGACAMACAAAGAACCGAGGAGGACCTRCTTCATCYGRGTAAGRGACTMTGYCTGCAATTGCAAAGAAATACAGATGGAGATAGGAAAGCCCAGTGCCAGTGAAGTTTACCACAGCAAGACAGTAAAGCGGGAAAGGAGGATAATAGTAAGGGGAATAAATAAGAGAGTGTCAGCTGTCATTTTAGATCAAGCCTAGAAAAGCTGCAAGAAATGAAAAACGAAAGTATATGATATATCCACGGTCAATACATCCCTYCTGCAGCTCAYGCTCCCTGTGTGGATCATAGATCCTAACAGGAGTTTCACTATCCCACAAAGGCTCCTCCGCTCATTACCCACCACAGAAACAAGCCATCATGGTCTGACTTAGAACACACCACGGGTGCCACTCTCTTTCTTAGCTACAGCACTCGAGGACAGTGGTCCTAAAGCACCTACAAACAAAGTTAAATCAAACCACTCCCTTCAACACCTCGTTAGGGTGCTAACATCAGTGAAGGGTGATAACATCAGAGAGCGATTGATCAGTGAGTTCTTTAGGAAGTAATGAAATAAGGAGCCGCTCACAAAGAAAAGAGATCCAAAAGCACATTTACATTTCTAACAGTGCCGCACCTTCAAGAGCACAGAGAAAGCAAATTTGATGGGCAAGGGAGACGTTGGAAGAAATCGCAGCTCTACCCTTGGTTACAGCTCTACATCTGCGTTTTAATGCACATCAACACGACAGAGATGGCGAGGAGGAGGAAAGTAGAGGGACCACAACGCCCGTGGAGGGGCAAAAGAACTAGGAGCTGTGGCACAAAAGAGGAGTGGGAAAGACTGTCGGGCGAGACTCACCAGGAGGGCATCTCCGCTGTGGGCGTCGCCGCGGGCGCTCGCGGGCTCCTCAGGCAGCAGCAGCGGCGCGCCTTTGTCGGGCGGCGGCGCGGCCGGGAGGGTGTTGCAGCAGCTGCCGCCCGGACAGCCGAGCTGGCTCTTGCGCGAGTCGGCGCTCAGCGACACGTCGTGCGC